ATAGTAAGAGGTTAACGCTACTGCTGGTGAGTAGGCCCTAGCGGCCGTTACGAGCAGGAGCGGTAATCATTAACGTTACTCAGCTGTGTGCGCGTGCTCGCTCAGCAGAACGCGAAACGCTGGAAAACAAAATTTCGTGTTTCGCTCGGGTGTGTGCGTTGTGCTTTAGGGTTAGGGTACACTTCTGTAGTACAAGTCTGGTACACTTTGTGTATACATATATGTACCTCGGGTACATATCTGTAGTACCTGTTACGACAACGACCCCTTGAGCGTCACTGACACTGTCACAGCCTCAGGCACAGTGTCACTCAGTGTGGGTCTTCAGACAAAGTCATGCACACACAGGCACTTGGCCGTTTCAATCTTTAAATAGTACTAAATCAAATAAAATTGTATTTGCTACCAAACTTTCATCTACTCTAAAGTCTAAGTCTATCACTTATTTTTTGCAAGTCAACTGCAACTTGAGCAGATAAGGTCTATGTCTCCCTGACCTCTGTTTGACCTGGCTCGTTTAGCTATTTCTGACTAAACCTAACCCTGGTAACTATCTGATATAGGCCGGGTTAGGGTTAGGGTTAGTCAGAAATAGCTAAACGAGCCAGGTCAAACAGAGGTCAGGGAGACATAGACCCTATGGGCGCAACTTGACTAACTCTGCAACATTAATCGAGCATAATCCAACTCAACTGCACTGCTAGTACTATAGCCTACAGCCTATATACCTCAATCTATGTCGCAACCCGGCGAAGAATGTTTACAGCACGTTAGTATGTCACACCTCTGCAATTATACCACCTAACAATATGCAGTTGCTGGAGTCATGGCTGAAATCTTCCAATGTTCCATGAAAGTTTTGGGGTTTTAAGTTTAAAAGAATTTTCCTTTATATTTCAGATACAGCCTAAAGTGAAAATACGTAGTATTTTGAAGACGATGCCTTTGATTGTGGAGTTACCTGATAACTGCAATGAAAGTGAAAAGTCAAAAGAGCAAACTGCTGAAGTGTCTATCCCTGTCACGGTTGTGGATACTAGGAGGCCCTCAACGCATGATAACCAGGGCCTGTCTAATGTTGAAGTCCATGAACATATAGAACTACCTTCCCACTCAACAAGAGATGCCACAGATGCCAGCAGTACTGTTGTTTTAGAAGGTGATGACAGGCCTTTGTCCAATTGCATGAAAAACAATGAATCATTGCAGGAAAGCTGTGAGAATTTATGCCAGGATTATGTTGGAGAGGCTGCTGTTCTTCTAGAATTTCCTGAACTTAATGATGTCAATGATAAACATGCACACACCGGATACTCTAGTTTGCTCGAGGATTGGACAAGTTGCAACTTGCCTTCAACTAAAGTGCTTAATTCTGTGAACACTGAAAAATTACTAAATAAAGACAATATAGATACTAATAAGATGTGCAGTGATCTCATTGTAGATATTGTTGATTCACTTGATGTAACAAGTGCTTCAAATGATGGTTTTGTATCCAAGAAGAATGAGCCATTGACAGAGCATCTAGCAATGAAAAATGATAATGCTGTAAGTGTATACATCATTATACTCTAGCTAGGGAAATGGAAGTGTTCCTCCTGTAGTTAATTATAAATTAAATGGGATTTATCAGTCACAGATTCTAACTGTAAATCTTGCAACTAGTTATTTTACAAACTATTAATACTTTCTGCACAAATGATGTGATAACAATCATTTATTTAATACATTTTTTCTAGACTGGTGACAGCTGTAATGTTAAGCCTCTGGTGATGCAGGATCAGAGCAAAAAAGAAAATTCAGAAGAAAAAATCAAGGAAAATGTGAATTGCAATAACAAAAATGAGAGTGATAAGTTGCCAAGGTATTTATATCTTATGATAACACATGACCCTAAAATGCGTGTGTGCTAGTTTTCCTGTGAGTCATACGAAATATAGGTCTCGACCATCTTTGTAAAAGGAAGAAGTCTATTAATTGTGCCTTTTGGTTCTTGTTACCTGATTACATGATCGGCTATATTAATTAATCTACTGGTAGGTGTGGTGGCATCTGGTATTGATTGTTGTCTAACTCCAGTTTCACAATTAGAAATGTCTAGTTAACATGATGAGGGAATATATAGTCTTTTTTCTTCAATTTCATGGCATCTACTCCTTTCTAACTGTGTGATTATCCGATCAATCATTGTAATCATATAAATTTTACATTAATTATAAATATTAATTTAAACACATTCAGAAATATATATAGAATTAGTGTTTGCTCATAAAGTTTTATACTTTATGATTTTAAAATATTTGTGTGACCCTATGTAGGATGACAAAAGAGTTTCTGAAACGGCTTTGTAAGCAGAATAAATTGTACCTGACACCCTACCTTAATGACACTCTCTATTTACACTTCAAAGGTAAGCCATAATAATTATGTGTATATTGATTAGTTTTAGATATTTATATGACTCATATCTGACCATATATAACACCCTCATAGTATTATAATAAATTGTGTAAGTTTAGGGCGCAAGTGTATTTTTAAACAAAGTTCGTACTTTGAGCTATAATGTTGTTACCAGATCGGTAAATTATATATTGCATTTTGGTATCACTTCCATGTCTATGTCTCGCTGTTGCAATGCAGGTTTTGGGAAAATAGAGAATTTGGATGAGTATACAGGCCTCAAGTGCATCTGGCTGGAGTCTAATGGCATCAGGAAGATAGAAAACTTAGAACATCAGACTCAATTGCGGTGAGTGTCAATAATCAAATAATGAGAGAGTTACTTGGGTATTTGTGCGTTTTAGATTTAGTAAAGTGCATGTGACTGAAAGGAGTATATGGCTATCAATCTGCAAACTTGACAAGCCTACCAGCTAGTCAATTTCCCAGTAGCAAATTTGACTCGACAGACTCAAGTTATTACAATTTTATCATTAGACTTTTGATACTGATTTAAACAAACTAACTGATGCTTGTATGTATCAAGTTTTCACAGGTAAGCAGTCATTGCTCTCTCTCTCTATTTAAAAAAGAACTTTGGGCATTGAGCTCTAAGTTTTGTATACAGTCAGAGAGTGGTAGACAATGCATGTGATTTTTTTTATTGTTATTGTCTCGTGCCATGCACTTCAAACTTAATTAAAACAAGCACTAAATTGTCTCTCTACACATCAATATCTTTAGTCTTTAATTCATACATTCATGCTGATTCCTGGACTCTGAATTTATAATTGTGACTAACCATGAAACGATTCCATAAATGGGAAATGTATCAAGAAAAGTGTATCCTTTTTTGACTGCTTATCATATTTATTTGGGTTCTTTCAGATGTCTCTACATGCATCAGAATCTCGTGGATCAGATAGAGAATCTGGAGCCTCTGCAAAATCTTGTCACTATCAATCTCAGCCATAACTACATTACTAAACTACAAAACCTGAGTAGGCCAAATTTGCATCTGTGTCATCTCACATGCTTTTCACAGGTCACTACTTGCAATCCTGGTTATATATGCAATGAGTTTAAAATTGCCAGGTTTAGCATTTGAACGTGGACAATAGAGATACATACTGCCAGAGGTTAATAATGACAAACTTGTCATTATTAACCCTTGATACTCCTTATCTTTGCACATTTAAAAAGCACATAGTGCAACAATATACCTGATTTCTATAAGCTATAAGCCAAGTTTTCTGCTCAGAATGGGTTCAACACAGATTGCCAACTGCTTCATAAGTCGACTGCCCCTCCCCAACCTAATCGCAAATATCATGAAAAGTGGTCGTAACATTGTGAATCATGAAGTATATCATCACATCACCACAACATCCAAACAGTAGTCGTAATACAGATTTGTTATATATGTGTACTGATAAGTAGTTATGCACAATTATTAAATTAATTATTCTAAGGTTGCTTGCCAAATTTGGAGACACTACAGATGTCACACAATCGTCTCCAGACAAGCGACAACATTGCGCATTTGCTTGACTGCCATGCGTTGCGCATTCTTGATCTCTCTCACAACAGACTAGATGATGTGAAAGTGATGGATGTCTTTGGGGATATGACTATGCTCGTGAGTAACTTGTATTTAACCTGAAAGTCATTGATTAAATACAGTAGTGGATAGTACTGCGTCAAAGACAGACAACTAATATTTCCCCATTCTGTACGTGTAGCTACTTTCCACGTATAAGTAATGCTGCATATGCAATAAATAGTGTCAAAAGCACATGAACTCTAACGCTAACAATGTGTCTTTATGCGCTTCTAGCTCAGCTCAGGTACATAATAGGGACAAGCGGTCGGTATTATTGAAACAAGAAAGCATATCTGATTATTAATAAAGTTGTATACATGGTTAACGTTATTTAATTAGACTGAAAATAAGATGCCGTTTTTAGCTTTTATCATTGTTCATGCCACAGTTTGTGTTCTTAATACAGTAAAACTCGCATTAAATCGTCATCGTCTAACTCGTCAATTCGCATAAGTCGTCATGGAAGTTAAAGTCCCGATTTTCTAGTCTTATAAGTCGTCGCCCTCAGACAGGTCCCATGTAATACAAACAACAGTAATTTCCCATCTGTAAGTCGTCATCAGAAATGCCGATGGCGCAGTGTACGGTCTAGGGGATGTACGAGCTGGCTGCACAGGTATGCGCCAACGTGTAATCAACAGCGGGTGTTACAGATAGCCAGCGAGAGCCGCGCTTGCCGCTAGTGCGTACGATGTATGTTCGTTGTGGGCAGCAGCGGTGTCGATTGATATACGGACCCAATTGTTTCATGTCTGCTATGTATGTGGCGCGACCTGACGTCGTGTGTGGAGCAATTTATGACTGCATAGGGGTGACGCGCGCCTGGGAGGGTAGCCCTACATATAAGTCGACAAAATGCGTATGTCGTCATTTTCGTAAGTTGGCACAAATATGCTGGTCCCAAAAGTGTCGACTTATGCGAGTTTTACTGTAATATTATTGTTCAACTTCTTAGTATTACACGTTTCAGTTTAATTCAGGGCATTTAATAAATAATGTAATTTACCCTTTTGAATTGTTCTCAGAGAGTCCTGAATATCATGGGCAATTCAGTGAAGAGTTCCATACAGAACTACCGGAAAATGTTTACATTAAGAATCGTAAGTTTCATATCCTGGTGTGGAAATTTTCATCACTTCACTGGTGCATACCTGCCAGTTAAGGATATTTAATATTAGAGTGTGGATAATTTCTGTTTACATTATACATTGCAATACGACTAAGCTAACACTTTCTTGCTGTTGTACGAGTGTGGTGATGTGACTATAAAATAGTGATCATGCACCATCCTATCAAGTGTCTGTTAACATAAACTGACATGCAGCACTCTGTTTATATGTTGTTACTTTTTGCCGTATAGAAGCAGCTTCAGTACCTGGATGATCAGCCCGTCTTTCCACGCGATAGAGCCTGTGCAGAAGCCTGGTGAGTACACCTGTGTGTTATGGTAAATGTAACATGTAAAATTAGTATGCTGAGTGACTGAGGACATACCAAGACATCTAGCTGAATTGGCAATTGAAAAAGTTGTCTGGTTATTTTGAAACTGATGTACATTTTTAAAGCAATAAAAAGTAATATGAATGAGAAGAAACAAATCCCTTCCTCCCTACCGGCGCATCCCTACTTCTCTCCCTCTCTCTCCCCTCCCATCCTCCCTTTGTTTCCTCGCCTTCTTTAGTCTCTATTTCCTCGTTTATATATATATATATATATATATATATATATACAAGTCTAAGTAAATATTGTTATGGCTCTACCCTGGCCCTTTAAGTGTCGTGTCCGACATGCCTTCAAAGCTGAAGCTAATTTGTGACATTCCACGAATCATCTGACATCCTTTAATTGCCTAATCAACATGCCAGTTGTTTTTATTTTTGACAATCCCAAAACAGTCATGCATGTATTCACAACTTGATGTATATGTCTCCAAATTGATTACCTGTGGCTGGTTACGACGCGTACGTGTAATTGACTAAAATTAGCAATCGGAGATAAATTGCCTGATTGCTCAACATACCTTCTGAAATTCCCAGAGAGAACCCTGATTTTACGAGCCAGACATGTCTTAAATGAAAAATTATGTCTTCAGTAAATTTATAATATTATCATATAAAGTTGAATAATCTTATTTTAGCTTGTCCATAAGTACTTATTTTGTCATTTGAATTGATTATGACCTTTATCATATAATCATTGCATAATTAACAAATATATTTAAACAAACTTTGCTGGTTTTCTCTTTGCAAGAAGTTTTACCAATTTATTTTGCCAAATTGCTTGAATAAAAATGGTTTCACTGATTTAATTATTTCTGCATAAACAGCATCAGTTTATAGATAACTCCTTGTAATTTCTTGTGACTGTAGGGAAAAGGGAGGTCGTGAAGCAGAGAGTATGGAACGTCAAAGGTGGATCAACAAGGAACGTGGCAAGATTCAAGCCAGTGTTGATGGTAGGGTACAAACGGCAGTTTTTAACTGCATTCGTTGGCTATAAATTTAGTATTTAACATAATATGAAAATCAGTGATCATGATTAATGTAAAAACATTACCGTAGTCAATCAAGATAATATAAAATCTATATATGATCATAATTATTAATATACCTTTTTATTCCATTCGACCTCTGATCTGCATTCACAACGGTGTTTAAAAATTTTCTGTATCACAAAAGATTCATTTTTTTGCCCATTTTTATTGCTACTTACATCATTTTTGGCATCAACGGGAGTACAAGATGTAGGTAATATAAAAACTAATACTTCGTAATTCATCATGTTATATAATAATAAGTTGTTACCTAAGACTAAGAGATTTGGGAATTGTGCATCAGCCAAAGGTCTATATTTACAATCAAACTGAAGACACTAAGAATAACAGTAAAGTAAATTGTGCTCACTCACCCAAATATCCCCATCTCTCCTTCGTCCTTGGTTTGTGAATCGTATCATGATCATAAGCCTGTGATGAAGTTGTGGTAGCAGTATGCATTGGTTTTGCAAAACTAGGTTTGGCAGGTCACGTGCACTAAAATGTAACTCATTTTACACGGTGATGAGTTTTTGAGAAAATTATCAAACCATCACACACAAATTGTTTCTTACATGTATCAGCCAAAGATATATTATTTACAATCATATCTGTACCATGCAGTTACACTTTCACGCTTGCACCAATTCCTTCAACTGCCTCTCCAAGAGTGCCAACCCACACTTACACAAAGATTGTATATGTCTTTGTTCCAAATGTTATCTAAGAGCATCTGCTAGCTACTACTCACAATATAAGGATTGCTTAACATCTAAATCTAAAATCTAAACTACTTCTGATGCCGAAACAAATAATTATCAACTTAATTCTAAATCAAACACACCACAACTCACCTAGTTTACTTTTATACTTTGCCCTGATCACACATGTACCACTGATGCTACAAACAAAAGCCATTATACAAAGCTAATCTAAACCTACTCTCTCGATCTCTAATTATTTTTCCTCTCTGAAATACACAGGTAAATCATATGCTACACCTTTAACAGTTATTTAACAAACAAAATTATTTATATCGTGTTGCAGCTCTTGCAGACATGAGGTACAAAGCTAGAGCCAGAAGGGAACGTGAACAGGAGCAACCTTTAAACATAGAGTCAGGAGTAACTTTGGTGGACCAGGAAGGGTTAGAGACTTCAGAAGATGAACGGGCGTCAGAAGTAACCTCGGACGATTCAGATACCTCAGATGGTTCAGAGACCTCAGAGGATTCACTGATGTCAGAAGAAGCAGTGACATCAGAAAAGGCCGCAACCTCAGAAGAGTTAGTAACATCAGAAAAGGCAGTGACCTCAGATGAAGCAGTAATGTCAGAAAAAGCAGTGACCCCAGAAGAGGCAGCATTACCAGAGCCTGTCCTACTGAATTGCAATAAAACCACATCAGATGTTAAAGGCATTTTCAGTAGTAGAAGAAAAGAAGATGCTGGTGCTTCAATTGGTCAGTTGCTGATCTCAAAAGGTAGGAAAGTACTCGAGATTTTCAGCTGTACAGAACAGTTGCTTTCCTGTATTTAGTTTCACCCTGCATATCAAGATAAGTAGTCTCATCAGGATAATATTGACTCTGCATATCTGTAACCCAGTGACGCTGAGAGGGTCTATGTCCCCCGGGGTACTGCTGGAGCGTACCCTGGTACTATCTAATATGCCGGACCGTACCTCGCCTACTCCACTACCGAGTCTAGGGGGTCGCCTACGCCCACTCCCTAACCCTAACCCTAACCCTAATCCTAACCCTAACCTTAATCCTAACCCTAACCCTAACCCTAACCCTAACCATATCAAATAGTGACCAGCTAGGGTACGTTCCGGTATACCGGACCGTACCCAGGGTACGTTCCGGCAGTACCCTGGGGGACATAGACCCTATGAGCCCAAGTGACTTGTATCAAGATATGAGTAATGAAATAACATGTTATCACACGTGTCAAATAAATCAATATCATTTACATTCTTGCATTAAAACCCCAAAACCACACATAAATTTAATGTGTTTTGGTTATTGTACTGTGCAATTTAAATGCTTAGTCTCATTAACTGATTCCGTATCCAGCAGTTGAGAAGACTCTACATGAGGAAGATGTGTTCACCACAGATGTGCCAGATGATAGCTCAATAGACACTCTGACCCTGAATACTCCAGTTGATGCCAGCTTAAAGGTAAAATGGAAATTTGCAGACGTATTTACATTAATATATACGTAGTTTCTTGCTTTGATTTATACGTTTTATAGGGTTGTATCGTGTTTAAAATAGCCCCTTCTGGGATAATATAAAGTATATATTCAAAGTAATTCAAAATCGTTAATTCAGACTTTCATATAATACCCCTACCCACGATGGGTAATATACTAGGGCTGTAGGGGTATTGTATGAGTCTGAATTGCAATTGAGTATGAAAATCCCAAAGCAAAGCCACACATTCTGATAGTCTTAGTATTGTCAGAGTCCAGTGTCAGGCAAAAATTGTGTGCCATCATGCTTGGTAACTATTATCACATACCACAGCAATGAATATCAATGCATCTGAACCATACACTGGTTATTGTTAAAATAAACTAAGATTTTTCTGTCTTTATTATACAGAAGAAATTGGCATGTTGTATAGGTGAAAGAATTCCACAGAAAACACGGCTGAAAGCTGTCTATCATGTCATCCTTTTATTATTTCTCATTACAACAACACAAATCTGCATACCTCTATTTGTAGGAATGTTCCAGAACCTTGCAGGATGCCAGACCCAGCCATGCCGCGACCTCTGTTGCATTCCAAGGCGGATCTGCTGAATCCTCTGTATGATCGAATGATCTTCCATTCAAAAGGAACCAGCCACATCTCTTGATAACAAGATAGGAATTGCTTTCAGCTGGCACACCCTGTAGGAAGGATATGCGGCAGCAAGAGTCAGCAGATTCGCCGTGTTGCTGATCGAGGAAATACATCCTCAAGGCCGTCTGTCCTCCTGTAAATAATAAGGCGTACACCGTCCACTACATGGAGACATTTGTGAGAAGAAGCGCTCACACGCAGCAGTCAGCATATACGGCATGGGGGAATGTTGAATCATTGATGCTTCTTCAGGAGTTACTAACGCGGTCAGATGGTGATGCAGCGGATAAAGAGCGGTGGACAGTGTTGGTTCTGACCGGCGCATGGTGAACAAGATGAAATGCTAGCTTAGTGTAAGGAAGCCAAACCTACTACCATCTGATAGCCAGCTTGAATTGCGGGAGGAAGTTGATTGAGTACACTGTTCGGTATTACATTTCCGTACGTGTGACCTTGTATGAACAGGCAACAAGCTTAATTGCGTATAGTTACGCCTCATATGTCCCCAGCGTACTATCGGAGGGTACCCTGGGTACGGTCGATATATCGGAACGTACCCTTGGTAACTATCTGATATGGTTAGGGTTAGGGAGTAGGCGTAGCAACTCCCTAGACTCGTTAGTGGAGTAGGCGAGTACCGGTCCGGCATATTAGATATAGTACCAGGCGTACGTTCCGATGATAATCAACACGTACCCAGGGTACCCTCCGATAGTACCCTGGGGGACATAGACCCTATCAGCTATAGTTACAGTATACGTGAGCTTGTACTGGAAAGAACAGTGATCGTTACAATTCCTGTGTATTACTAGCTGCAATACCCAGTAGTCTGGGACTGACAAGTAGATAGTGTACTATTGAAGTATGTGTGATCTTAAACTAGGAACCAGTTGGCTCACTGTTATAATAGTAACTGTTTTAAGAGAAGAGTAAGGTAACTCGGAGGAAGAGGAGTGTCTAAACATTATAGGCTATAGCACATGACATTGTATTATTGCAATTGTATGGATCACTGTATTGTGGTTTTATTTTGCACTATAAATAGCAGTGATAGGCATACATGGCTTTAGTCTAGTAATTTAACATATATTTCTGTTAAACGTAAAACATACACCACATATTAACAACTACATAATAATCAAATAAACATATACACCTTCAAGCAACAATTTACAATTTCTTGCAAAGTTGCTGTATATTCACATCCACTAAATTTGTACTCGTCAACTATGTGCACGCATGAGCTGATAGCTCAAACTATATACTGAGTTGAGACGTCTCTGAGCAGGTCTCGACGGTTCTCGAAAGTTCGGTCTCCAAGGTCGAAGGTCAGCTCAAAGGTCTCGAAGGTTCTCTTATGCACAGGGCCGAAATTGATTTGTTAATATTAGGAGACATACACCTCCACCCCGGGGAGGTTGTATCAAGGTCGTTCAGAAGCGTAATTTCATTTACATTTTTACCTCGAAATATTACAGCTAAGCAGCTGTATTACCTTTTAATACCCACATGTTTCTGTGGGATTGTTTGTATACAGAGAAATCTATGCGCTATACGCAAACCACCAAAATCGTTCACTGATAGACTGTACAGAACAACACTGTGCATCAGATCACCTGATCAGATGCACATACCTTCTAAATCTGATCCCTCTACATTTGATCATTCGCTAGGCCTACAATCTACATACTTCACACTGAACAGATGTCAGCGTTCAAAAGTAACCAGAGAAATAGCCTTAAAATTCAACTTCTGCTGATCAAAATGGCAGCCTTGTTTGGGATAACCTCTGGCAAGCAGAAGACTATCTCTAAGGAGGTTGAATTTACACTGGTGATCAACAATCTATCACATACATTTTAAGATGAATAGTATTACAACTATATCACATTACATGGTCGTTTTCAAATTCTTGATAATTACTTAAAAATTCGATAACTTGCAGTTTCTCATACACCTCAGTCAGCATACATGATACTTCCTGTGGGAAACATATCATAATAGTGTATCATTCAGGCTCCAAAATTAATGTCTACTTTCTTAAAAGACCACGTTATATGTCACTATATTTTCATTGAAACAAATCTGTTTATCGCTCTTGATACTTACCACAAGTCTTCTTGCCATACACATTAACTGAACAACAAGATATATACTATTAAATCCTAAATTCACCACCTGCGCACATCATTTAGGTTTGAACATAAACCCACACGGGTATGTATATATTACTGCATCTTTTGAGTCAGCACCATGCTTAATTTGCTTTCTGGCAATGTCTAGTTTTTGCAAAAAAACTGACTATTAGTGTTATCAATCATGATTAAGAATGACATATGTCACTGCTAATTTTTTTTAAGTTAGAATCACCACTCCCCATTTATAATCTTACACACCTGACATCTGTTACACACTGGCATTGTGTAAAAACTGCAGCAAGCTATGACCTTGTCTGCATTGCTCCTCAGACGATATGCTGACTATTACCTGTAATCAGACTGATGTGAAGGTAGGCCGACTGCAAACAGCAAGCATCTGATCCATTCGTCACTAGCTGCTCTATTTATGGAAAAATTTGGTTTTATTATGAGACCCTTCTCTAGGGCTGTTAAGGACAAATCAGTACGGATTTCTCTTTGCATAATTTTATTTGCTGACCCACTTGATCTCACTGTAGCTGTCTGTGTGTGCCTCAGTGTAGTAGCACGATCCACAAATGCATAATATATTAGCAAGGGTGCGAGCTGTTGCGCTACCAACATTTGTGCAGCTTTTTTTGCAGCAAAATTTGTATGCACCCATTACATTACATAATATAAGTAGCTATTAAAGCAGTGTCCTGTAAATTCCAGTACTGTAATATTGAAATGTACTCAAACGTGTGAGCTGGCCATTTGTGCAAGTGGGGGCTTTCATGTGCTATCCACAAGGGATATTACATACTTATGTCAGTGAGTCAACAAGCTGAGATGAGTAGGGTGCATCAGGCAGGATAATACATCACTGCAGATTTTATAGTGCCAGTGGTGTTACACACCCTATAATCAGATGTTCTGTGTTATTAAAAAACAGCACAGTTGCCTAGTCACTTGGTGGAAAATTAAACTTCTTCAAAATTGACTGCATATGTCAAATGTTGATCCATAATCAAACCGTCTAATTGGCTCTGTTGCTGTTGTGATTATCATGTTGCTGTTATTGTTGTTATTGATGTTGTGTCACTGTGGCTGACAGTTAAAAAAATTCGCATTGTTAATGTGAACGGTCACACACTGGTAAACACGCAGACACCCAATGGGCAGAATGATGTTTTGCACTGTGATGGTATATTACAGCTGCCTTCACTACTTCTTTGCCTCAATGAAGTCCAATTTCATGGTATAGTAGACATATGGGAAATACTCCGAGTAACTGAAGCCAAGACCAGGAATATCCACCATCTGTGAAGTAATACAATGAAAACCATATCAGGATCAACGTCAAAAGCTTATTGTCTGCACAAATGTTGATCATCATGCCAAGAACAATATAAAATCATGTCATCCACAGAATGAGGCGTATCTGCACTCTGAGGACCACTTAATTCCAATCAATCACTTGATTTATCAATCAATCAATCTTTATTGCTAAAAATTTAGCCTTAAACCCCATCTGTGATGAGTACGTAAAGATACAAATGACAACTCGCTTAGCTAGTCAGTTAAATTCTAGGGAACAATTGTTTTAATATTGTTAAAACTCACGTCGGCTGATCCAGAGCCCATAGAACTGTTGTCAAGATGTGCATACAGTTGATTTAACACATCCCTCAGCTTGCGGGTTGATTTCTTGTACGGCAGCAGCAGCATCGCTTGGAAGTTCACAGGAAGACCGTACCTGCATCACCAGAGCATTCACCTCAGGTTGAGGTTACATACACAGTAGCTATACGGCTTTCTGCTTCACAGCATTAGCACAAGCAAGGAGATGCACTTTTGCAAATTCAACAATTGCATATCAATAGCTTCCCCACTAACTCATATCTTCGACATGTATGTACCTCAGGACAGACTCTGTGAAGACTCTCAGTGCCTTCACATGTATCCAGGCAGTAAAGGCTTCACTGAAGTTTACCTTTAGCCAGCGCACTAGTGGACCCTGTAATGAAAGATAAGAAAATACACGAGACGTTATATTGTTTATTTTTGCTATGTACGTTTGCAGGGCCATCATAATCACGGTTTGACATTAGCACTCACACACTCACAAAATACAATTACCCCCTCAACAAAGGACAGCATGTGCAGAATTCATGCAGCCCACCCTGCAGTCCATCACAGAGCTTAAAATGTCATGTGTTGACCTGCTGACTGCCACATAAAAAGCCACTGTTTTTCAACTTTACTAGTGATTATTAGTAAAACAAGCTCAATAGTACCAGGGCCTTGCTCTATATATTGACTTAAAGTGGATAAACCTCGCAACAAAAAGCCTACATACACCTACTGTGAGCATACTTGCAGTATGCAAACATCACGAAATGTTCTTATTGAGCCAGAAATGTGCTCCAAACATTGGGATTCTCGAAACCGCGTCGGACGCTGTTTCGGCATATAGATACACAAGTTGTTTTTGAGTGAAGAGCCAACAGTAGGCCTACGCTAGCACAAATAGTTCCTGGAACGAAAACTATAATATTTGTTTCCTGAGTTCACAAGTAATGTAGATAACATATATGATTTAAACAAATTTCACAATTTCGTACTGAGTAAACATCTAACATGTCTAACAATAAAGGATAACATGTGTTATCACAGAAAATAACTGTTAATGCAGCACAACGTTTGCTCGGCTGTGTACCGGATGTGTAAACACTGTAAACATCGTGTGGTGCTACGTTCGTAACTTCTATTTAAATTTTATTGTAAAACTAGCAATACAAATAAGTTGTAGTAAAATTTTACAACATGGACGAGCTTACAGTAGATATATCTATGCATTTTGCTGCGAGAACATGCCGTTTTTTAGAAAGTGTTGCCTAGACAACATTTTGAATGTCATTCATTAGAAATGTTAGAGTTACTCCAAAATCATTAAAAATTACTATACATAAGTGCAATGTATGGCAATGTTACACGGCAGTAACACTTAAACTAGTTGTGGATTGATATGGGTGGTTCACAATATGATCTGTATCATGATACCCATTTCACATATATTATACTTCCAAGAGAAACTACCATGCTATGGTGTGGTTCATCACAATATGGCACAACTTGCAGATGACTTTTGCCTAACGCCTTCATTTTCTTATACAGGATGACCAAATTACACCCAAACAGCCGACTTATCAAGTGTTGGTGCGGTGAACTTAATAAAAATATCTGTGTTATTCAGGTTGCTTAACCTTCCAACCACCTCAACATACTAACGTGAAATATGTTGTTTGAAATTATCGCTTGGTTGGCTGAAATGTGGGACAACGATTATTCTAAAAGTGCCTTAGAGTTAGTAAATTTGAAAAGTGCGAGTAGGGTTCTGATTTTGTGAGTAAATTATCAATCCACTCGTGAAAAAATGTGAGTTGTTTCAAAAATTAAATTCTAACCCTGATATTGTGTTAGATGACACAAGACATATTAACGAATTTATGATGAATTAAATCACACCCCAGTTAACTGTGCACTTACGAACTGCTTTTTCTTGTCCATGTTCAGCTTGGTGATCTCATTCTTGCTGGCAGCCAGAGCCTCTTCATTGTAGACAAATTCACGCACCACAAACCTAAAAAAAACAGTGCCTACCTCAACATTTGAAGCATATCTCTACCAGATCAAGTCTGGCCAAGATGTTTATCCTAACCAACAGAACAGCAATCTATGTGGTCGATCGGCTGAACCAAAAATGTACATAATTTACCAATTTATAGAACATAGCCAGTGTTCTTTTGACATGAATCTAGAATAGGACTACGCACTCTGAGCTCTTGCTTGCCTACTAAGCTCATACGCACCTGTTTTCCCTGCAATGAAGCTTGTACTCATCTACGACCTTGTTGAACATGGTGACTGAGAACAGGCTGTGATCAGGGTCCTCTAGGATCAAGCTGAATGTATGCAAGCCACACATCAATAACTACAATTAATACCATAGTGTATTCACTACACTCTGTGAAGTCTATACACTACAACAATCGAGTATATACTTTGCACCGTAAGGAGGTAACAAACATTGACTTGTTATATTTACTCAAGAAGTAAAATCACTTTTAACATCATCTGTATATATATATATCTGTCATTGCTTTTCAGGTCTAGCTTTCTTAACATAATTAAGTCTTACTGTTATCAGACCAAGAAAATCATAAAAACAAAATATATGGACTAAATTATAAATGGCAATGTGCACTGTGCCTTTCTCACATGAATGAACCTGTCTGTTTATCACATACATGCATGCATGCACACACACACGCATGCGCAGACACATGCGTACATACATGATTATACACAATAACCTATACAGAATCGTGAATATAATTACAAACCAACAGCAACAGATCGTATTCATACATACCGACTGCTTCTTGGCACCACCATATCAGCAAGTGTTTCATACTTGCCAAGCCAATCCGGTTTCAGTTGGCTGAAAAGTAAAATGAAATTTGCATTCATCGATTTTTCTAATAATGTTATAGTGCAATTTAGCATAGAAGAACATACTATGATAGCAGGGGTAGAAATTGGATTTTTATTATGGTATCCATTCGGGATACCAGGTATTGAAATCTGGTATCCCCCTCAAAGATCTGGTATCCCATTTTTTGGATAGTAATTTCAACAATGTTGGTATCCAAAATCTTGAAATAAGCAATTATAGCTGCGTTCACACGAGGATGTCAGTTCCGTACTGAGCGTTCACACGGTAAAAATATTCAAGACTTATACGCGGCTTAGCAAGTACCGTGCTGAAATACGAGGCTTATTCAGCGCGGAATCACATACCGCGCTGAAACATTCGGCACCACGCTGGCTGCGTATTGTCTGTCGTGTGAACGCAATTTGAGGCCTCTTACTGTAGTGCGCTTACCTAGACTGGTACCCGTTCGCTACACGACGTTAGTGTAGCGTGTGGAACTGTCGACCGGGTACCAGTCTATATTATACCTAGCCAGCTAAGCTTTCGATTCTCGTGTGAACGCTCCGGGTTGTGTTAGCACGGTATTTCAGCCGAATTCAGCACCAGATAAGTACGGAACCAGCGAGGCCGTGAATCTCGTGTGAACGCAGCTAATAGCATTTGAAAATTATTAATATGTACCTGTAATGTAATTATTATATAAAAACATGAAAACAGATTCACAGATATGCACAGACAAGTACACTGCACACGTATTGTGTAGACGCATTGTCTGGTTCGCTTGATACAATGTATACACATCACATTTATGATAAACATCGGCTACGCTTACGCTTGCAAATATGCTCAACAACTACTATCCCGATTTTGGCGATTTTTTTTTTACTATCCCGGCGGGATACCAAGCATTGAAATCTGGTATCCAACACAAGAATCTACCATCCCGCGGATATCAGGATACCGCTAATTTCGACCTCTGGATAGTATTGAACAGCTGTTAAGTATGTTGTTATAAATTCACCTTGGCACAACGACCAGCAGCGTTGTCAGGTATTCCGACTCAAGTACGAAATGCTCCTTCTTCACTATATCCCCAAGATTTCTAGTCAGGAGGCTTCCACTAGATATAACAAAAACCATATGTTATTATGTTAATCACACAATCACAACATCTCCAACAAGCTCTCCAAAAATATTATTACAATAGACATTTAATACCACGAATCTATTACTAACCACCAAGATTACATAAGAACACATTTAAAAAGTACCAATTTAAAATTAAATATTATTGGCTATAGCAAATAAATGTGATATGAACCATTTAAAAAAAAATCTCTTACATACCTCGACTTCTTTGCCAATGATTGTAAGTTGCCTTTTAAGTTGTTATACGCAGTAGACTTCGTTTTTAGGTCTGCATCAATCTGTCCAACTTGCTGTCATTACAATTCGTCATTGGTGCACATGTGAAGAAAATGTGAAATTTGACTTGTTTCATGGGACCAGAATAAAAAGACACTAATATAGCACGTGCAAAATTCTATTTTCTGTTTTTCAATAAACTTCTTCATGGTTTTTTTAAATATTAATATAAAGTTTAGCTTTATAAATATATACTTGGTGCATCGTATTATTTTTAATTTACATTGTGCATTATTTGTACATAAATGTCTATTACTGCCTTACATGCCATCTAGGCACCTACGAGGGATAATTAACTAACTAAATGTCAATTATACATAGGCGTGCCATGATAAAGAAGAATATACTCTGTGATATAAAATACTCACCTTAGTTATAATCTCGTGTATGTTTTGAAGAGATTGCTTGATTGGGTATTTAGCCATATCCCACTGGAATCTTGTCAAGTATGTTGCCAAGTCCACTGTAAAATATTTGTTTTAGTAACAACATGAATATCACAACTCCTATTTGTATTCTAAGACAATATCCATACCATATTATTTCATATTTATATAATACTAATAGTATATAATTATATCATGAGCATAAAAAATTTAACCGGAAAAAATACAAAGCATGAACGTACAACCCATAGCAACTTTATTATATTAAAAACAAATTAAGATGAGGTATTAATGTAGATTTTAAATAAACAGGAACTTTGCTACCTCCGAAAATTAAAATACATAAACAACTTTAGCCTAACTAAACGTATTGCAGTCGAAACTAATTTACTCTTGCTTCTAATTTACTCTGCGTGCTAATAACTTTCTTTGTAAGTTATGCCAAGCATGCTAATAATACCAATAATTACACGGTTAGGTGACAAACTAATAAACTACTCCATTATCTGACATATTGAATTAAATTTCCAAAAACGATATTTTCACTTGGGAAAAATTACCTCCATTAGCCAAGAGGTTCTCTGCCAGTTTGTCTCTCTGGTCTTCCAGCACATCTCCTAAATACTGGGCAATCTTGTGCGCAATCCTAAAAGATAATTGGCCAAAATTAAGCAATGATATCATTAAAGTTTAAAAAAAATTACACTAAGATTGCTGTAACAATACTAACTAAATTACAATATTTTACAATAATTGTTTAGAACACTACTAACTCATGTATCAAGCATTTGCATGCTTATGCCATACTCACCTCATCTCATATTTCCACATCTAATTATTTTATAAAATACTATAGCAAATATAACTTTTACGAGACTTAAAACTAGAGTTTCAAATATACTACTTTTAGTTTGCGAGGAAACTTTGCAGGAGCAACTATTCTTACGCCTCGACGTAGCTATCCAACTTCGTAAGGTCATCCGATAACCCAACAAGTTGATCCAACGTTCCAACCTAAATTGGAAAGGACAACGACTTTATTTTATTATCACATCAACCATTATTTTGGCTTAAAGATTCAAGATGATAGGAGGCACCAACTTTATCCTCTAGATGCAACTCAAATCCTGAACACGTCAGCTTGTGATTGAGTAACAACTGCTGCATTAGTGTAATATTTTATTTACTTGCTAGCACACGGTTATCTCCACACCACACTTTAAACAACACAAGGTGCCCGCAGTCCCTTTGAGCTCAGTTATGCAGGAAAGAAATTTAAAACTATATTTCAAATCCAATGCGTAAATCTAATCGATACCCAAAGTAGGATACGACAACTTTTTGGAATTTTTTAGTTCAACGAAAAATCCAACTATACGTTACATAAACTTCATTGTCTGTGAATATAAACAGATAATTAAGCAAGCTATAGCACACGAACATTTTTTAACAGTTTACCTTTAAATCCGGAATGTGGAACTTAAAATTCAATGACAAATTGCTCTGTTTCGCCGTAACATTATTCATGTTATCCCATGTCTGCTGACATGTTTTTTCTCCTGGTGCAGAAATGAGCCAATACTCTTGTTGTTGGCTGCTACTCATGATGACACTGACCTGCTGACAATAGCAAAGGATACTTTGTGCAATTCTGATGTTTTAATACACATGTGTGTTAGTGTTAAGAGACACTTCAACAGCTGCCCTATTCACAAGCTACTCTGGTACCTTTAGACACACCCCTAGGTACTAACATAGCACTATTTACATGGATAAAACTGGAAGAAGAGTCAACATTTTGTGATTACCTTGACTTTATTGTCTAGTTTAGTATTTGTTAAACTGGGGGTTACAAGTAAGTTTTTAAGAGGGTTAAATGATGTCCAAAATGATGCAAGAGATTTTTTAGTTCTTGAGGATAATCACATTGATACTGTCAGGGTTATGGACAGGTACCTCTGTAAACGGCATTGCAACATAACTGCTCATCAAATTCAATCAAACTAATATCTATTACATAAGAGAGATGTCTCTCTACGCTCTCCACGGAAATAATCAAAACAAAATCATCGCTAATTAAGTGATGGGAAAAATTTGAATTTATGTAAAAATATGTTTTTTTCTCATTTCTCAGAAACAGCAGAGTTGGGACCTAAACTTTAAACCATAAGTTATTCATAATATGAACTAAAAAAGGGTCCCTGGAATTTTATTAAATGCTTTAGTTTATTAAATAAGTTGAAAAGATGCACGAAAATTTGTAATGATTTTGAAAACACAACAATTTCGTAAACAAAGAGCCATAACTCCTAAAATATATTTCATAAAAATTCCAGGGACCATTTTTTCCTTTAATATGTTAGCACTGAAACGGAACAACAAATTTTGGAATCGGAGGTGTGAGTTTCGAGAAATAGCGTTTGAAAAATCAGCAACTTCAGCATTTCTAACAATGGAGATATTAGCACCTTTCTAAATTTCCCATGATTGAACACCTGTGTTAAGAATCGACTAATGCGGCGATTTGGAACTGTTTGGGAGGCTACATGTATACATAATTTCTACGTATACATAGCTGCCCATGGGTGTGATCTATCAAATAAAGTGGCTATTGAAATTTTGACTAAAAATCACCTCCCAACCCTAACAGTATCATTAATTGCCTATTTCTATTAAAGCCATTATATCTGGGAGAAACATGGCAATAGCTTTGAGCTGATAGTAATACGTGTGTCCATCATCCATGGTATACATATTAAGCATAACCTTATTACTGTTAGTTACAGGCATTAGAATAAAACAAATGTTCTTTTTCAATGTATAGTAACAGTATAGGTACGAGTTTCGAGAAATAGCGTTTGAAAAATCAGCAACTTCGGCATTTCTAACAACAGAGATATTAGCACTTTTATAAATTTCGCAATGATAGAACAGCTGTGTTTAGAATTGACCAAGGTAAGTAGAATTGCTACTGTTAGTACTTTCTGTGACTTATCTGTGACCATTTAACATCAACAAACTTCAAAAAAAGTCCTGCTGTTATAAACAAGAGCCGCAGAGCGTCTGGGCTCATCTGAGGTCTTATGCTAACGTAACATTTAAGTTGTGCGTAGTGACATCTTTGTTAGGCGCAGATATGCAGATACGCAGTTGCGTACACATCATTTTAGCAACCTTCTGCATTCTGTATACCTCCCAAATCCCATTGGTTGATACAAATCGCGTGCCTGAAACTCCTGTTTTATGGTGCATTGTGACCCTAACCCTAACCCTATTAAAAAAAAAAATTCAATTGTAAAAATTATTTGTTGTTATGAAATTGTTAAATTAATCATGTAAATATTTGCATTAATTGGAAAAAAATTGTTAAATGGATAAAGATAGAAAAATACAGAAAACAGGTAAATAATAAAAAATCTGATGAGATTCGATCCAAGGACCTTTGAGCCGTAATCCTGTGCTGTAGCCATTAGGCTATCAAGGCTTATGAGTTTTCTCTATTATGGATGTGCCATGAATATGAGAACACTGTGACATCATTGAGGCAGTTCAGGAATCCATGTTTAACCCTCCTCTTGAGGGTCAAAAGGTTATCAGACACTTACTCTTCGCACGTCAGTGGAAAGCACATTTCATGGTCCTTTCAATAAAGCAGGGTTCGACACTAACGCTAGTCAGTTAGTTAGAAAAAAACAGAAGGACTAGTAAATGCCCCATAGCCGTTAGTCCTG